AACTCAATGCAGGCCTAATTCTATCGCTGTGCATGCACGGGATTGTGACCCTAATTTTGGGCTGTCCTTTGGGGTCCAAGGCATCAGAGATCCCCATTGCCAAATAATTAATGCCAGGCAGCCTAGCTTCATTATTTGAGATACAAGTTTGGTTGAGAAGTAACTGAGTAAATATCATCTACTTAAACTTTTGTAAGGCATTTGATTGAGTCCTGCATGACATGCTAATTTAAAAAAATAATAATGCTACATAATATCAACACACACATTAAATGGATTAAGAACTAACGGACAGATCTCAGCAAGTGGTTGTCGATGGAGAATCACCATCGAATTGGGGTGGTCCTAGTGAGGTTCTGCAGAGATTAGTACTAGGTCCAGCACTACTCAACATTTTCATCCATGATCTGGATGTAACTATAGACTCTCTGCTGATAAAATTTGCAGATATCACAACAATTGGCAGAGTGATAAATAATTATGAGGACAGGGCAGTCATACAGAGTGACCTGGATTGCTTGGTAACCTGAGCCCATCTTAACAAGATGTGTCTTAATATAACCAAGTGCAAGGGACTACATCTAGGAACAAGGAATGCAGACTATGCCTTCAGAATAAGGTACCACAGCCTGAAAGCAATGACTCTGAAAAGGATTTAAGGGTCACAGTGGACAAGTAACTGAACATGAACTCCCAGTGCGTGTTGCTGTGGCGAAAAGGGCTAATGGGATCCTAGGCTATATAAACAGGAGTGTTGAGTAGGGCTATGATTTCACCCTGTGCATGGCCTTGGTGAAATCGATAATGGATACTGCATACAGTTCTGGTGTCCACATTTTAAGGATGTTGAAAAATAGGAGAGGGTGCAGGAAAAAGAGCCACAAAGATGATTCGAGGGCTGGTGAAAATGCCTTATGATGAGAGACTTAAAGGGCTGAACTTGTTATCTTATCCAAAAGATCGAGAGATGACTTGATTACAATGTATAAGTACCTTTGTGGGGTGATAATAGCGAGCACTAATGTGTTTTTTAATTTCTCAGCACAACTTGAGCAAGGCATAATAAGAACCAAGGGCTGGAAACTGAAGCCAGACAAATTTAAATTAGACACCTGTTTTTTGTTTTATTTTAAACAAACAATGAAGGTAATTAACCATTGGAACAAGCTACCAAGGGAAGTGGTGGATCTTCCATTTCTTGATGTCTTCAGGAAAAGCTTGGATGCCTTTCTGGAATGTATGCGTTAGCCAAACATAAGTTATTGGGTTCAATACAGGGGTACCTGGGTGAAGTTTAAGGGCATGATCTATACAAGTCAGCCTAGATCAGTGGTCCCCAAACTGTGGGGCACCCCTCTCTCTGGGGGGATGTGGCGGGGATGCGGCAGGGCTCGGGCCACCCCATCAGGCAGGGAGGGAGCGCCATTCTGCCCCCAGCTCTGCTCCAGCCCTGGCTCCCTGCTGCAGCTCTGCTCTGCCCCCCAACCCCAGCCACAGCCCCAGACCTGAGCGTGGTCCCACTTCCAGCCCCAGTGCCCAACTGCTGGGGGTGAGTGGACAGAGGTAAGGGGGGGTATGAGGTAAAAAGTTGGGGGACCACTGGCCTAGATGATTGAATGATCCCTTCTGGCCTTAAATCCTATGAAACTGTGAAATAATCCCTGGAATGGCTTTCCTTGAGGCACATCCGGTTTTGGGTATGTCCATGTAAACCTGGTGTATTTTGTGGGGATAGGAGGAGACTTTGGAATGGAAATAAGCCCAGGAGCCAGGACGGAGATAGCTCAGCAGTCTAAATTGCACAGCAATGCAGAAGCGACCTAAAATTCTCTGTCTAAACTTCACAAGATGTTAACAGGAAACTTTTGGTTTAACCTTGGAAAAGTTCTCTGGGCATGTTGACCATGAAGAGGCAGGAGGTGAGGGGTTTGGGGACTAGAAACTAAGCGATTCATGTCTGGTATCATGAGAGGACACCCCCACCCAGTGCTGCTCTTCTAGAAGGTTCCTAAAGCCTACTGTTGCCATGGGCAGGTGGGTGCACCGCACAATTGTGAATATGCAGAGGCCCCTTCAGACAAACAGATTTTCCAAGCTGTACAATGTCCATATATTTTATAAAAATGTCTTGTAGCACTATTTCATTTTAATAGGAATCAAAACTATTCTAACACTGAATGCCTAAAGCTACTTTCTATAATTCACCAATCTTCCAATCAACTTCCACATTTCATAAGACTCTGTTCCAGAGGTTCCCAAACTGTGGGGCATGTTGCCCTAGGGGAGCAGGGAGGATCTTTGGGGGGGGGGGGGGCACAGCTGGAGCCTGGGGATGGGGAGGGAGTGCCACCTAGCTCTGCTCCTGGCCCTGGCCCCAGCTGCCGGCCCCATGCCCAGGAGCAAGGGGGGTTGACCCTGAATAGTTTGGGGACCACTGCACTATTGCATGGCAACACATATCACTGGAGATTTGTTTGAATTCACTTTGTACCTTTCTAACATTGCTACTGTCATTATTGGTGGGAGAGAGTAATGCCTGGGACCATAAATATTTGACAAGCAGAAAAACAGCCTGATATATAAATATCCTTTAGGCAAACACAAGGAAAGCAACATTGTTCATCAGCTCGTTCAGCACTACAGCAAAGTCCACGTAGAGGTCGGAATGAAAGAAGGGCATGAAGACAGATAAAGTAGACAACCACATTGCATTTTTTATCCAACTCTGACCAGATTCCTGCTTGAGGCATAGCTGCATACATAGCTTAAGATTTCAGGCCCAATTCTCCACTTGTACCTTGTGTAGTCATGAGCTCCAGCCTGAGCTGCAATCTCTATGTACCTGTTTTCAACATGAACCCTGCTAATGAGAGTCTGTGGACCCAGAGTGGGAGGCTCACTCCCACTGCAGTGTAGACATACTCTATTAGTGCAGCTTTTGAATGTGAATGGTTAAAATATATTGTACTTCATAATGGTAGCTTAACGTAATACAGTCCAAAGATGTATGATGTACATATCTGGTTAGGGGCCCAGGGCCAAGATTAATATACTCTCAGTTGATAAAAATGAGTAATCACACATGCCAATGAGCATCTTGTTCTCTGTTCAGTGAGGGGTACAGCCTGATCCCAGTGCATGAAGTAGCAGGGCTGTGCCGGCAGCAGGGTGAAGGGCATAAGGAATCCAACTTTTGTGGCAGGAAGGTGAGGGGCAAAATCTAGCAGCAGCAGAGCTGCTTCACCCCTGCTACCAGAGCCTCAGGACTGCAGGAGCTCCCACAAGGTGGAAATGGCTGATGGGATGTGCATAGTTATTGATCCTCAAGATCCCAGGCCTCCCCTACTCCCACCCACAGGCAGCTCTGTTCTACAGTGCACAGGCAGCATGTGCCCCTGTGCAAACTTGTACCACACTGCATATAGTGCAGTGGCATTCAGGGCCCTAGACAGCAGGAAGGTTGCCCTGGTTCTAAAATGATTCCCTCATATTCAACATTAGTTAAGATGAAACATTGAATGGTATCCCTCATCCCCCCCAACCTCATTGTGGCGTTATATCATGGCAGTGCCCAAAGACCTCAGTCAGATTCCATGGTGCTGGTGTTGTATGAACATACGTCCTGAGCCAGGAAGCACTTAAGTCTCTTTGCCCTCATTGGGATTTCAACGTGAGCTTGAACACATCCTTCATGAATGACATTTTCTTGCACTGAGCCCATAGGAGAGAATCTCTGAGTAGGACATTACAGTTACTAGAAAGTCTCAGCCCCAGACATGCATGCAACAGTCATTTTAATTTTTTTCACTAAACTGGAATGTGCTGCATATTTACCTGATAATAGTAACTGAGAAATGAACATGAGTAGCATAATGTAATATTTAGTTGGATCTCAGTTTATTTACTTGTATTATGCAAATCAGCATAAGTAAACATATGTTCCTAATTTTGTACTGTATGTGTGAATTTGTTATAATAAACAAAAAAATAACAGCCGTAAACATGTCCATGTACTTGACTGCAGAAAAACACCCGATTTCTCTTAAGCAGCAAACATACTGAATTTAAAAATAAAGACAGTGCTGTTCATCTGAACTTGTGGCATTTGTTGCAATAATTCCTATACTTAGAACAGATCTCAATGCAAATGCAGTTGTAAATTTAACTACTTCTGATGATCCATACCCCATTTAAAGGAACCCACTGCAAAAGGCAGTTATGATCAGAAAAATGGCTCTAAAAGGTCACCCTCTCTAACATTTTATTCAAGTCACAGATGTTTTATTTACCTTTCTCAAGATAAGGTTTTCATTGCTATTCATACTGCAGAGCTAACCCACCATGAGAATTGTAGTTGTTCAAGCTAGAATCGAATCCACCAGCAATAGAATTGTTAACTAATGGCTGAATCCTGCATTGGACGGCAAAATCCCTGTTGACTTCATTTGGAATCAAATTAGGCTACATTTTTCAAATGCAGAATATTACTAAGAAAGATACTTGAGCCAGAAAAAAAATCAGCTTGATTTTCAGATGACAGGCTGAATTTGCAAGGCTGGAAGATAGAAACTCTCTCTCTACATGTAAACTAAGCAAATTTCCTCTGGAAGTCGCTGCTATAAACATGGAATGCTAGCTCCCTCAGTCCTATTGTTTTTATTTCCAATCACTTCTCAGTGTATAGCTGCACTTTAAGAATGATCTGCTTTAATGTTAGCTTTGAAGATAATGTAGTGGGTGGATACAAAATATTTCCGTGTTGGAAGCTTTTTTCCCTCTTTTTTATGAAAAGTGCTCTTAATGCTTTACTGTACAATTTACCCTGCACTTTTATAAGGAGTCACTTTCTGAGTATTAGGCACTGATAGACTATACTGGATTATTGCTGATAAATTGAGAATATGCAATAAAATGTTCAGATCACAGTAAGTCTTTAATATTTCTGTATGCAGATTGTTCCCTTGAACATCCAATGACTGCATTTATATTTCATTTTGCAGTTTTTTCCATATGGAGATGCTTCAAAGTTTGCCCAACATGCCTTCAGAACCTTTGATAAGAACAGCGATGGAACCATTGACTTCAGAGAGTTCATTTGTGCATTGTCCATCACCTCAAGGGGTAGTTTTGAACAGAAACTAAACTGGGCCTTTAATATGTATGACCTTGATGGAGATGGTAAAATTACAAGAGTGGAGATGCTGGAAATTATAGAGGTAAGATAAATATTACACATTGTTACAAACATAATTTTTGTACATTTTGAACATTTTCCATAAGGCAGGTGTAGCACCCGTTCCAGTACACACAAACTTCCTGATACAAACACTCACAAGCAGGCATGGGTGGCGTGCTGAGCTCATAAGAGTTTGTGCATAAAACATGCAGCCTGTGCACAAAGAACTTGTATTTCTCTAGAAGCTGTGCTGATAATGCTGAAATCTAACTAAGTCTTACTGGTTTGTGGAAAGCATAGTTTCACCAAGGAGTTTGCATCTCACAACACATTAAGCTAGTTAGAACTTATCTGTCCAACATTAGAGTGCTAATTCTATTAGTAACTAGAATCTTCCATTATAAAAATGCGCAGTAGAAGTAACGTCTAAAAATGTTGCCAAATTAGTGATTACTGAGGTGTAGAATATAGACTCTGATATTTTTAGTACATACAGTAGCTTAGTTGGATTCTCCAAACAGTAATATTTCCAGTTGTAAAAAAAATTCCATTATCTAAAATAGGATATTCCAGTGTCCACTAAACATTGGAAATTTGTTATCCAAACTTGTTCAGTTGGCCCCCATTTTAATAGAATAATGATGATGTAATGCAGAGCCATCAGTTAGTGTCGTTTCTCAAAGTGATTAGCAAATGGAAAGATTTAAAAAAATGTTTCCATGATTTCTGAGGGCAGTGTATGCACACTTGTTTATACTTGTATTTTAATAGAGGTACATTTGATAATTTTCTGATGTGTGTGAAACAGTACAGCTGAACACTTCTAGGACCTCAAATAGGAATTCTCAAAGTCACATATAGTTCTAAAACAAGCTTAAATCTTTACCTGATGGAAAAATCTTTTCATTCTTGGTCAAGTGTTCTACACATGATTACGGTATGTTTACTTCTTACCAGACCAAGATAATCTTGTAACAAAAACAAACAAAATCCAAACAGTTGAAGAATATGACCTTAGGAAACTGATCAGTCAAAGTTTGTATAAAATGTTTCAAAGAGCTGAAGATTGGTAAAAACCTCAGACTGCAGAAGTGCACACAAATCTGATCCAGAGCATAGGAGGATTTGAGCTGTAGTGCTGTTCTAGTTTGTTTTAAGACTACAGGACTACACTTCTATTGGATTATCATAAATAAAACTATGCATCTACTTGTAATTGGAAACTCACTTATAACAGTAAAATTACGATTTTCTTTAAACAGAGGTTTCAAGTGTTTGAAGAATTAAATTAGTTCTAACGTGCCAAATGGAATAAGCATTTTAAAGAAGCCTGTATTTATGAATTTCATTAAAATATTTAAGAGGCTGTTTTTCCTTGTCAGAAGCAAATGGGTTTGGGATTTTTAAAGCTAATTTGAAGGCATAATCACCATCTCAAGTTAAAAAATCAACTCTGCATATAATCATGACACCCAGAACCATGTATTGACTAGACTTAATTATACTTATTCCAAGTCTTGATTTTTTAAAATTATTATTTACCTTTTTGTTTATTTCCAAAGGCCATTTACAAGATGGTGGGCACTGTGATAATGATGAAAATGAATGAGGATGGTCTCACGCCAGAGCAACGAGTAGACAAGATCTTCAGCAAGATGGATAAGAACAAAGATGACCAGATCACACTGGATGAATTCAAAGAAGCTGCAAAGAGTGATCCTTCCATTGTATTACTCCTGCAGTGTGACATTCAAAAATGAGCTAATGTAAAATGCATTATGGACTGCACAGAAGTTTAGATGTTCCATTCAGTTTGCAGCTATTTCCACACACACACAAAAATTGCTTGGACTACCTATAAATGGACTTGCTTCTTGTGTTTGAAACACTCGTGTGCATGAGAATGTCATTTGCTAAAGAATTTTAAAAGTATATATTATAAAAATAAACTGCCACAATGTGATGTGTGCAATGTCATTTCATAACAATCCTATTCCTCTGAAGCCTGTGCAGCAGTACCGTGCTGCAGTGAAATACTATTGATTGTTCGTTTTACTGATGCTAGCTACGTGTCTCCTAGCCTGAGTAATGTTAGTGACACTGACTTCCCATGGTAATGTAACTGTTGATTATAAACCATGTCACCATTCTGCTGTAAAGTAGTACTGGACAGACAGAGGCGAAAGTTCCTCAGTTCATGAGTCTGATCCACACATGTGCTTGTATTGTCAGTGAATATAAATGTAATTCATTTGCATGCCTTTTAGGTTTGCCTTAATTCTTACCTCATTTGCATCCTTTCAATCTGGAAAGAGCTATGTCAGAGGAATGCGGTATGAACAAAGTTAAGTAAATCCTGCTAAAATGTTCCCTTAATTAAAAAGTATATATACATTTAAAATATTGTATTACTGGAAGTTTAAAAAAGTTTTATTGGAAGTATATTGATTTCTGCCTGAATTTTCAAAAGCTTCCAAAGAGGTTGCAATATATGTCCTAAAATAAATTTATAACATTTGACTTTTCCCCCCTAATTCTTATTTCACATCTTTAGCATGTTGCTACTGAGAGAAAAAAAAAATTAATTCAGTCGCTACAAGAATCTGCTACTACAATACTGGAAAAAATACACATTTCGTTATGAAAACAAACAGTATAAATGGAACTGGAAGTAGAACTTAATTCTTGTCCAAAGTGCCTTATTTGATGAATTGTAATCAAATGCTGTGGTTCTAATATGTATCTGTAGGACAGATTCTCAACTCTACCTGTCAGAGAGAAAACAGCTGGTAAAAATACAAAGGCACTCACCCTCAAAATTCTTCCTTATCCAGTGGTATTCTAGTATCTGATCTCCCTAATAATATGGCATTGGCAGCAAATCCTACTTTTGCAGAAGTAGTCACTGCTACAGTATATTGTACAGAAGAAAAAGCAGCTAGGGAATAGGACAGTGGGACTTCTCAGAGCATTGTAAGAAGAGCTGTGATATGACTGTAAACGTGCAACTCCTCTCTCCTAGTACCTCCTTCAGAAAAATCACTGAATATTAGAGACCATGTTCCGCTCACAAAAGGACCTTGATTCCTCTATATTAAATGCCTTGGATCTATCACCATTGTTGTTACTGCATATAGTCCTATTAAATCAAGTCTGATATTCAAAACATTCAGGTCAAGATTCTTTCTAGGTAGCTTAAAATAAGTTCCTCAGAAGTCTTGATTATGGAGGAGAAAATGGACACAACTGACACCCGAGTAAGGTTCTCACTCAAAATTAACTCTTCAGAGGGCAGCAGCAGCAACAGAGTTATTAGAAAGGAGTTTAAGATTCAATGGCTACAAGCACTGTAAGGTGAACATTTTCAAGGCCTACCAGCCACTAATTCAAAATTCAGACTGGAAGAAAAGGGGTTGCTTTACTTCCTGACAATTTTTAAAGTATTGCATCATTTCACCCAGAACCTGAAAGCATCATTTTAGATTTCTGGCCAGCCAGAATGTCAATTCTCTTTTGTTTAAATAGCTTTCTAAGCTACTTCTAGATCAAAGCACCACCCATTCTCTTGACCTAAAGCTGGCCTAACTCTCCCTATTTTATCCCACATAGCACTATAACATCAACGAGATAAAATAAAAAAAGCAAAGAGGATATAGAAAGTCTATGAGATAGTAGATAAGCAACTCAGCCCATTACATGACTGGAATTATCTGGAATGACTTGAGGAACTGCAGATAAACATTTCACTTGTCCAGCTCACTAAGGCTCTCTTAACTTTATTAGCCTTTGACTTCCTTTAAAATGCTTTACAGGATTATGGCAGAAAAATTCAATGCATGCACTGTGGCCATGTTTGCCAGTAGGTGGAAGACAGCAAAGCTCTAGTGCCTTAAAATTACTTTTGTTACCTTTTGAAGAAGCAACACAGTTCTGCCCTTCTCCAAATCATGCCTCAAAAAACAAGACAAATCATCCCTGCATTTCTAGACTGAAAAAGCAAGCTGGGTTCTAAGCTTCAAGTCAGAGTAAACATCTCCAAACAAGTCAATAAATAAGCAGCAAGGCAGGAAGCATTTTTTGACATGTCCATATGTTGCAGATTCTTCACCATAAAACCTTCCCATGAAGCACACTAATAATTGAATCCTCTTTTGATCAGAATTAATTCAGTTGGTCCACCCTCATCATGACTACAGGAATGTTGCCATTTAATTTGCCTGTGCATATTAAGCAGCCAAAGGCAGAAATTTCAACTACTATTTTGCACCAGAATTTCACTAGGGCACTGCTATTAGTACCCTCACTAAATTTATTAAGTGGTATAATTCATGTTAGTTTAAAAATAATCAAGTGCTTATTAAACGCTAAGCTAGTAATTATATATTGAGTACTTCCTTGAATTAATGCTCATATCAATCACTGCTTTATTTACTGTGACTTGCAATAGGTCTTCTCCATTTCACTTAGGGCCTCACATTAAAGTAAATGAAAAAGCTCCAACAGATTTCAGTGGCAATTAGCTTAAGACATTAAAGCACTGCTGTACAAAATGGCCATTGGCTTGAATATAAACGTCAGAAAGGTAATTATGGCAGCATTAAGATTGTCTTTTTGTAGTCCAACAGCCATATCACAGGCGTAAGTAAATCCATATCTCCAAGAATAGGAGAACTCGAGAACCAAGAAGGCTCATTCAAGAGCATTACAAGAACAAGGTGATTCAGCTATTGTATGAACTGATTTATTCAGGGCAAATCAACTTCAAAAGAAAACAGATGCCTATGAAGTCCTGTCAGTCCCACATTTTTATACTTTACAGGAACTGATAAATTCAGAAGAAATACATCATGTGATTTGAACAGAAAGCCCGAAGAAATGTTTGCTGTTGCTTTAAATAGTTTAAGAAAAGTTTATCTATTTCTGGAAACTGCTAGAAAACTTGGGATCAAGTATAAAAGCTAGAAGGATATTTAGTGAGAGCTGCAGTAATTTAACTCTCTAGTCCTCTTCCTCCCAGCAGTTATCTAAAAAGGCAGAAATGAAGGATGTATATATTTAAGATGAAGCAGGCTTTTCCTTTGGCCTATACACACTTTCTATGCACTTTATTCTCTTCGATCCTGAAGAAAGTCAGTGGGAACAAATGCCATGTCATTCTTTTGGTTCATATTTTGCCAGGGCCTTAGAGGACTTCTTCCCAGTGGCAGTAGATGTCAGTAAATCTTAATAAATTTACCACATAGTTTAAGAGCATGTAGTGAGACCAAGGTTCCACATCAATCTAAAACGAAGCTACTGGTTAGCGCATGAAAGAGAACAAAGAACCAGGTGTATTATAGAGGAAAACCATAGTGTTTGGCATCAAGTATACACAGTTTGTGTTCTCCCACTTCACATGAATCTAGACATGTAAACACTGAGCATCGACATCTCGCCCTACTGCAACTGAAGAAAACCTGGACCGTTGCGGTCAGTTAAAATAGTAAAATTGAAAAGGAAGCTTTTCTAGACAAATTTAAAATTTAGCATCAAAAAGGGGAAAAAAACACCTTTTAATTAAAACAGCTGGTTATTTGAAAGAACTGAGTTATTCCTGAGCCACAACAACTTCAAAAGGATGCAGACAGAATGGCTGAATTTTAAACTGAGTTGCAGAAAAGCTCCTAATAACTTTAAATTCCTAAGGGGCCAGAGAGTTTACTTTGTTAATTTGATTTTTCAAATTATTCCAACAAAGAAAAATAGTCTTTCCCCTATTTTTCATGATCAGAAGCTATTAAAACATTTTTATTTTTAAAGCAGGACCTCCCACTACATTGTACAATAGCAAAAACGAAGCAGTAAGGTTATTGTATAACATACCTGCATGCGTTAACACTATACTACTGTTCCTAGGTATAGTACAAAATCAGAAGCAGAACTGTACAACAGCAAACAGAAGTAAACTACTGTGACATTTACTATACATGCTACTGCACATGGATCTTAACCCTGTAGTAAACATGTTATAACTGTATTTAATTTTACATATTTTTGCACATGCTACCTAGTAAATATCATTTAAAAATATCTGATATTTCATGTCTCTTAGGCTAGGTTTTTATACTGGTGACCATCACCATACTATCAGAGTGCTATGTCTTCCAGTGTTGTCTATTCTCTGGTATTGGCAGCTCTGTGTGGAGTATGCTTGTTTCCTTTATGTTTTGTTTTACTATAGATCTAAATTGTTAGATATGCATGCATATTTGCACAAGACATTACATACATGCTTTGTTTAAATAGGATCAGGCATCTAACTTCCTAAAAGGCAATATTTGCTAGTTGTATTATGCTGATGTCCTAAGAGCCTCAAATGGCTGATAAAGAGAACCACTTGGGAAGAGTGAGAGGGTAGTTTTCCAGTCAAAGATCATTTTGCCAACAAATTCTGCACTTTTTAGTCATAAGAACACTGAAAAGTAAGAATCTTGTCATAGACATAGGAACTCTAGTTCCATTGGAAAATGGAACACGTATGTTTAAAGTGATTTTGACAAATACAGTAAAAGAGTTCAAACAAACTTGGCAGTTAAGTTAGGAAGAGCTTGGTTTCCTCCCATTTGGGCAACAACTTGCCTGGTTTAGGAAACTGAGACCTTACAGGAATTAAACTAACATGTTTTCTCCCATTCTGTAGCACCAAGAAAGTATGTAAAAAACAAAGCAGCAGAGAACTCTCCAAGAGTAGGATGACAGCTATCTGTAGTCAGACACGACGCATGAGGGCTACAAGGGGTCAAGTCCCCCTGCCCCTCCCCCCCCCTCGATTTGCTGCTTAGCTTGTACTGAGCATGCTTACACAGACTGTGCGTGCTCAATAACACTGCTGAAGCTGGCTGCCATCACTCTGCCCCCCTCTACCCCCACCCCCCCACCCACTATCGGCAGACACAGGTTGTCCTGCCTTTAGTGCAAGATTTTCTGGTATGGGTATTTCTGATATTACATCATGCAAATTTTACTTTTTGATTGAATGTATTAACTAATAATACCTCTAACATTATATAATGTTGGGTGAGAAGACAGCTTTAAAAAGATCTGTGCAAAAGTTTCAGAAAACGGGTTACTCGCTTTCTCTTCTTGTTCTTCGAGATGTGTTGTTCATGTCCATTCCAATCAGGTATGTGCACGTGTGCGTGCACAGCAGCCAGAAGATTTTTTCCCCTAGCAGTATCTGTCGGGTCGGTCCAGGCACCCCCTGGAGTGGTGCCATCATGGCGCTCAATATAGGGCCCTAGCGACCCGTCACCCCCTCAGTTCCTTCTTGCCGGCTACTCTAACAGAGGGGAGGAGAGTGGGTATCAGAATGGACATGAACAGCACATCTCGAAGGTGAGTAACCGTTTTTTCTTCTTCAAGTGCTTGTTCATGTCAATTCCAATCAGGTGACTCCCAAGCCCAAGTTCAGGAGGCAGGGTCGGAGCTGTTCACTGACTGGAGCACTGCTCTAC